AAGAACTGGAGAGCCATTTTTTAAAAATCATATGATGCCCTTGTGAATGTAAGAATAAAGGCTGGATTTTGTAGTTATTTGTTATTGACACATAGTTGAAAAGTTTCCCCATCAAACTGTTTTCACAGGCTAAAAGACGTGCATCTACCTTCACTTGGGCATTATCACTTGGTTTTTCCAAAGTAAAATGTAACCACACTGGTTGCACCAGTTTGTTACACAACACCTGGCTGCCTGCAGCACCTTTAGCATGTCAGAGTTATAAAAGCATTTCTTTGGAGCCAGTTACATATACCTGGTCATGCACATGTAATCATTGATTTTAGATTTGCATGCTAGTGTGTTTGAAATCAAAGTCAGTGTGCACACTGTGACATTTTTGTCAAAGCGCTGGGAGGCATTTTCGCCTTCTTCTTGATCCCTCGTTGCTGGGAACTCCCCAGCGTGTTAGTGACTTACTAAGAAAGCCTGTAATTATTTTCCGTATCTCCTTGTCTTGATTAGAGTGTTCTATGAGAAAAGCAGTATAAAACCACCCTGTTCAACCTTTAGACCTTTTAGTGGCAGCATGAACACAAGATAATTGCACAACCGTCCTTCCTACCCTACTGCAATCCTATTATACAGCCTACTTTCACCCTTGACCCCGCAGTCAAACTGTGAATGACACTTGAGTGCATTTTCATGTCACAGAATGATAGTTGAGCTGTAGAGTGAATGACACAGCTTAGCAAACTTAAGTGTCTTAGCCCGATCTGTGGCTACAAGTTTTTTAAAATTATGTTTTAACATATCCAAATGTTATTTTGGTTCTCTGTTTTGTGATTGCCCTGACTTTTCGTTGAAGCTTGCACTTGCGATCTTGTGCTTGTATTCTTCTGCCTTCCTGTAAAGCATACTGAAAACTGAGTGTGTTTTGATAAGCTTTATGCAGCCTGCTTCAGGATGCATTTTCTCTTTCTCCCTCCTTCTGTTTCACTTTCTGCCTGCCAACACGCTCTCCCTCCCCCCTCCTGAACACTTTTTGTAATCACTGGACAACAGCCCCTGTAATGAGGATGAAAATGCATCGTGACAGGCTAAATTGTTTTGTGTGTCACCCAGGTACTTAAAAGACTGGACAGGAAGGATGAAGAGGGGAGGGATCACTGACTGAATTATGGCTGCATTACATCTTTTGATTTTCTTTTTTTTTTTAGCCACCTACCAGACGAGCCACAGTGCCCTATAACACAATCCCTCCCTTTTTTTTTTCTTTTTTTTTTTTTTTACAAGAGAACTGAGTCAGCCTGAGACTAATCTAATTTTTCAGCTCTCTCAGCTCATGGCTGCTGCCTTGTGCTATTGATCTGGCTCACCACTTATAGCTTCTCTGCCTTCAGCACATTGGCATCTTTATTTTTATCTCTTCTAAGCTGCTTTGCTGGTGTGTTTTACACCAGTTCCACATGAGTGAGTGAATGATTGATAAACGTGGTGTGGCCCTTCCTTGCTTTGACGACCAGCCTCCTGCAGGGCGTACAGGCCGTGAATGTGACTATTACATGTACATGAGACTGCTGCAGGGCACTTTGTAAATACATTACTCTAATAGTCTGTTATATCATATTATATTGTTTGAATTTCATTCACCTCCTGTGTTATCAGTTACTTTACTACTATTTGATAGGCTTTTACAAGACAGTCTAGTCTCAACAGCAATTTTCTTGGCTGACTTAGATTTCCCCAAAGCGTGACAGGTTGGTAAAGATTCTTTTTTTTTATGTCCAGTTTACTTTTCTACTTTTCTTCTCTGCAAATTGATATTTTCATATAAACCCATTTACAAAAAAGTTGGAATGCAATAAAAAGCAAGTCTCATACCAAGACTTCTTTCCTCATACCGAGGCTGCTGGCTTGTGGCTGGCTCCAATATCCATGTTCAGCTCGGTGAAGATGATTTAGGTATCGGATTAGATTTGTTATTACAAACGTTTTTGTGGTGGTCCCCCCACGGTTTACTTTCCCAAACCTGGTGTCTTCACTCAAGTGAAGAGCTTCCACACTAACAACAGGTTGGTGCATGGCTGTGACCGTGCAAGTGATTATTTGCCTGTGCTGCTGTGTGTGTATATGTTGTGCATGCCTGAAACATACACTCATAATTAAACATCTATGAGATTGACCAGCTAAGTCAGTCCCTGACCAGTTGGTTGGTAGATCTCTTGTAAAAGCGTTTACATTTTGTGAATCTTGTCCAAAGAAACATACCATCCCCAGGACACCTTGGGGGCAAGGTGTCCTATGGGGGACACTGTGTTTTGCTATTTAACATCACTGCTGGTTGTCATTGTCTTAGGGCTTTTCTAGCCTGTATCTTTAAACTCCTAAGACCCAAACTCTTCCACGACATGCATTTTTAATTTCTCTTTATATTTGGGCATATTGGGGCCCAATGAATGTAAAAACAAAGAATTACCAGATTTTTTTTTTTTTACCTTATTTTTGTTTTTAAGAAAAATAAGAGCCACATATGAGGATATTCGTTTCAAATTTTGATAGAACAGTGGCAGTATAATGTCCTCGTAAGTGGATATCAGGCCCATGTAGAGCAAAATTGAGTATTTTAGTCTAAATAACCCAAAATGTGATGTCCACATATGTGGACGCCAGGTCCTAGGAGGTTAAAGTTCTGTTTCACAATACGCCAAAACATATTTCATTGGTTTAGTTTGGATGGTGATGAATGAATCTTGGATTTTCCAACTATGCTGCTGTTGTGTTTCAGACCTGGCTGCTTATCTGCAGGACAGCATGCTCTATTGCTGTTGGTGTGGCCTGTATGAGGTCTGGTACTAACTACAGTGGTGCATCTGGTGCCAGAACACACCTACATACACAAACACACAGAGATTCACAGCCTGAGACTTCCTGTCGTTGGACCGAGATCACACCCGGTTTGTTCTGCTGCTCCCGCTTCAGCCACAGTAACACAACTAATTCCCCCTCTCTAACAAAAGACTGGCCCTGCTTCCCCTTTACGTTAAACTCCACAGAGCCTCTCCAGCAGGCTCTCTGCCTGCTCATTCGTGCCTGAGGGCCAGTCTCTAAACGGACTCAGGCAAGTGTGAAGTAAAGAGGGCTGGTCTAAAGGCAGCTCAGATAATTGACTTATTGTAGTGAAACAGACCGCACTTCACAGCTTACCACAGGTAATGTGCATAAAGGGAGCGGTTCACCTGTCTACAGCACGAGCAAAAGAGTTGCTTGTAGTGTTTTCAGCGGTTTAGCATTTTAACAGCTTTGTTCGGGTAATGCCTTCTTTCTGGATAATCCAAGTTAAACAGCTTAAAGGACGAGCAGGGAAATCTGCACGCTGCGACATGTAAGATGGGGGGCATTCTCTCTATTATACATTTTAGAGAAAAACGTCAAAATGATGCCTCAATCCAATATCGTCCTGATTATAAAAACAGGCTTTAACGAGTTCTCTAAAGGGGTGGCTACAGAGGAATCATGTTCAGACTGTACTTTAGATCAGGTGCCACAATATAGTCATATAGACATTGTAGATAAAACAGTATGTGCTACGTTTGGTGAGTGACAGCCAGCTCTGTTCTGCTGGTTTTAATCATTTATATTCTTACTACATCCTGCTGTGCCCTGATGTAGGTGCCTAACGTAACAACAGCTCATCACGAGTCATTTCTGTGACACGTTTGATCACATAAGGTTTTGTGAACTTTGAACTATGAGAAGATGTGTGTTTTATCTTTACAACATGCTCTGCTTGTAAAATGGGGTTCATTGCAGGGGAAGGGAGGGACACGGAAGTGTGATTAGGTCTTTATTGGCTAATGATGTGTTTTGGGCAGGTAAACTCTCTTCTAAGTGTCGGGAGCGTTTGAATAAATCATCACTCTCTCAACATGTTGTGTGGCCGCTTGGCATTTTGGGTCTCTTATCTTTTCTCTGGTGCACAAGTTGGCATCTCTGCCAAGGCTATGATGGATTGCTTCTTGCCCAGCAGTACAAAGGGACTTACCTGTAAATAATCCCTTTTTGTTTTCTTATGTGGGATTGAGACCAAAACCAACATTTACTGTTGATTGTTCACATCAGTGAGTTCCTGTCATGGACACTACTACCCGAACACTACATGGACACTACTACAATTGCTAACCAAGCTAGCTAGGATGGTTAGAGAAAGAGTACACCCTGGACAGGTTTCCAGTCTGTATTTTAGTGTATGTCATTTAGCACTTATTAGTAGATATACCTACTATACCTGTATGATAAACCTGTAACAGTTTATCAAGGTATCTTTCTAACCAAGCCAGCTAGCGTTGGTTAATAACTTGGCACTCCACCCTCTTGTTCAAATATGGTAATTCCTGGCTTCTGTGAGGTGACTCGCAGTGTTTGTCTTTTATATGCAGTCTATGACAAATTCTAACACCAGTGCAGTTTGAAACATTTTATCCTTGATATTATAGTGCTGTGCATCATTTTGGTGTTCCACCTGCCCCCCACACCCCTGCTGCCTCTGTCTTACTGGCACCCAGAGCAAGGCATCAGGTGACTGGCACAGCTGTGCCTAGCAGGGGGATCTGTGTCAGTTTGTATCGTACGCCGATAGTGGTGGACGGCCAGCTGACCTGGTTAGAGTGCAGCCTGCTCGACCTGTAGCGAGCTCAGCCTGTCCGTATCAGTGCAAAGCTGGCGTCTTCTTATGAGGGGTCATGATTATGATTTTGGTCAAAAGCGGAATTTCGGTTAATATGCTTTTTATAATTGAGTGGGGGAATCATTGGGTGGTTTGACTGACAGACTATCTAGTTTTTTGGTGCTGTGCTGTGTGTTCTCCACGCTCTCCTGAGTGGGTGGGTTGTTTGATGTAATCTTAATCGTGGTCTTGAAAGTTAATCAGTTGGTCATTAACAGCACTTGACAGTTTGTAGTGATTATTCTTTAACAAATATATCAATGCAGTCAAACTGGGTGTGGTTTATCTCTTTCAGAAGCTGGCAGCAGAATGTCAGAGTGCGGGCTACAGCGGCACACTGATCCCTTACAAATGTGACCTGTCCAATGAAGAGGAGATCTTGTCCATGTTCTCAGCAATCAAGACACTGCACAAGGGCGTTGACGTATGCATCAACAATGCTGGACTGGCCCACAATGAGCCTTTGCTCAGTGGCAGGACAGAGGGCTGGAGGAACATGATCGATGTGAGTTGGATTGCTGAAAATAATATTAACGCAAAAAAGGGAAGGTTAGAGCTTCCCCTTATGTGATATTGATTACTACTGTTAAACAGTGAAGCAGAAGGAGGAGGTTGCTCACTATGAGTCCAAGTCTTGTTTTTGTGTTGTTCAGTGAGTAAAAGCACACATACACACTGCTCCTTCCCCTCACAAAGGCCGCTTCATTGGCTCTGGGGAGAGACTCTGGCACAGCAGAGGCCTGCTAATGAAAGCCAGCACTATGTCTCTTGTTGAGACTTTTGATTCATTGAGCTCTTGACCACTGGAGACCCCCCTGCACCCAACTCTCTGTCTCCAGAGTCCAGCATTTCTGGCTCTTGCTCATCTGTTGTCATGGCAGCCCACGTGAACGTGTACAGCAGTGTATTTTTAGCCTGTATTTAATCTGCACACTGACCTTGTTTGGTCACCTCCCCCTATCTTGCTTGCACACTCGTGGTAACCTGCTCTCTCTCTCTCAATGTCACCACGGAAGCAGTTTGGAGGCTACAAGCTGGACAGGAGCAGCAGGTTCAGATGGTTTAACACACTGACCCAGTGAACATTAGCCAGCTTTCATCATTGGAAATTATTTACAATAAAGTACAAGCAACTTTCACAAATGATTCTCATTTTCTGTCTTTTTTTTTCTTTTCTTTTTTTAAGTTGTAGTTGAATGGTTCATACACCGATGTGTGAATACATGCATACTGTAGGTTATTTTAAAGTTAAAGAAATGTGCTGTGTTCACCTCTGCTGCAGGTGAATGTCTTAGCCTTGTCCATCTGCACCCGTGAGGCATACAAATCAATGAAGGAGAGGAATGTGGACGATGGCCACATCATCAATATTAATAGGTAAGCTATACAAGGAACATAAAATTCTAGGAACAAATCTATAGATTAATGTGAAAATACCTCAGCCAGTTTGTTCTGGGTGATTTTAATCCTGCAGGCATTAAGTAAAGCCAATTTTAAGCCCCATCTGGCACATTTTGGATGTAGAGCAATGCAAAGAACACCCACATGTTGAACTGAAAACTGTTTATAGATTTGTTATATTAGCATTTATTTTTATCAATATAGGTTTTCTTAGAATTGCCTTAATTAAAAATGGGGATTTAAACTTTGACACAAATGTTGTTTAGAGCTATAGCTCTGTGAGTGTTTTAAGGCTATAGAGATATGTGATATTAAGTGATACAGAGTTTGAAATCTAATAATGCACTGGTTAAGTCATTTAAAAGAACACCACAGGAAATTCAGAGGATTGGCTACTTGGTGTTGAATCAGCGTTGAGCTACAAAATGCAATTACCGGCTCATATATCTTTCTCGTCTTTCTCATTTTCTACAGTATGGGTGGGCACCGAGTGGTGCCAAGTGCCGATGAGCACTTCTACTGTGCCACTAAATATGCTGTGACTGCTCTGACTGAGGGAATACGGCAAGAGCTTCGAGAGGCAAACACCCACATCAGAGCCACAGTGAGTTAGTCGTTGCATTATAGTGCAAAGGTTTGTCTTTAGCCTGGTGAAACATGGGATCACATAAAATCCAGCAGTGTCCAACAGTGTGAAGAGGACTCCGAGCAGACAACACAGAAGTAGTCCAGCATAAAGTGGGAGTGTTAAGCCTAAAAAGCCGATACTGTGTTGAATTCAGTTTGGATGAGTCTGTAATGTTTGTTAATAATAATGGATTGCATTTATATAGCGCTTTTCGAGACCCTCTTCCCCTATTCATTCACACACTGGTGGAGGCAAGCTACAGTTGTAGCCACAGCTGCCTTGGGGCAGACTGACAGAAGCGAGGCTGCCATATCGCGCCATCGGCCCCTCTGGCCATCACCAGTAGGCGGTAGGTGAAGTGTCTTGCCCAAGGACACAATGACCGAGACTGGCTGAGCCGGGGCTCAAACCGGCAACCTTCCGATTACAAGACGAACTGCCAACTCCTGAGCCACGATCGCTCGCTGTTAAATGTACTCCCATGGAAACACTGAGGATGACGATGATGATGGGCTCGCTAGCCCACTTTCTCGTTAGTCTGCAAAATCGGGACGATTCCGGTCACAAATGCCTGGAAATGCTTGTAAAAATAAACTGCACAGTATGTTGAAGGTGTAACAATCATAATTTTGTTTTCTCTTCACTTCTATAAAATGCGTTTGAAAGCATGTTTTGAAGTTCAATCAGATACTTGATTTGACCCTGCTGTTCATTTTTAACTCACACATGTGTGTTTAATTATAAAGAGTCGTATTTATTGTATATGTGGTATCTTTAAAAGTTTTCATTTTGACGTCTTCATATTTGTAGACACCATGACCCTGTATGTAAAGAGCACATTTGTCATTCATTTTCCTGCCCTGCAGTGTATATCTCCTGGAATAGTGGAGACGGAGTTTGCCTTCCGACACCACAACAGCGATCCAGAAAAGGCAGCTTCAGTGTACGAGAGTATGAAAGTAAGGCTGTGCACATCACTGAAGTCAACGAATGTGAAATTATCGATCTGCTGTTGTGCTAATAAAACCTTTTCCCTCTGCTTTGCAGTGTTTGAAAGCAGAAGACATAGCCAGTGCAGTCACATTTGTCCTCAGCGCCCCTCCTCACGTCCAGGTATTTCTGTCTGTCTGGGACTGTTACAGTACTGACTTGTAGTTGAGTGGTAGCTGATTCCTGCATGTTTTCTATCTTCAGATCGGAGATGTGCAGATGAGGCCAGTAGAGCAGGTGTCATAGCAGCAGAAGAGTGAGCTGCAGGAGGAGCAGACAGACAGCACCACGGTGACTCCTTAGCAGCCTCTGCTGGGCAAAGATTGTGGGGGTGGGATGGTATTAAAAAATCAACTACAGCTGTGTCAGGTCTGCAGGGGCGGTGGTCAACAAAGGCAGAAGGCTTAAGGAAGCTGTGCAACAAAATGAAGGGCATGGACTTTGGAAAACACTACAAAAATACTACTGAGTGCAGCAAAGTGGCATGTGTGAATTGTTTGGCTCAGGGATGAACTGAGCCAAATCCAGACTACAATAGGAACAAATAGAGAGAGAGTTGCTGCTGTGTTGTGTGGTCATCTGCTTGGCCATCACTTCAGAGGGAAGCGTATGCCATTGATTGCACGATTTTATTCCTTTTTCCATTTGTTTTTTTTTTTTGTAGTTTATATGACATATCTTTTTGAAATGAAATTGAATTGGTAATTGCTGTTTATAAGAGACAAGTTTTTTTTCCATTTCATTTTTCTAATAAATATTTTAACTTTTGATTAGAGATAGATGTGGGCTCACATTAACTAAAAGCTAGACAAGGCTAAGTAAGTCATACCGACAGTAACCATAAGCAGTCTGTGCATCCTGCCACCCTTACTACCTTTATGTTTTCACAAACATATTTAACACATTCATTCCAAACACGTTCATATTCAGCATATTCCATTCATAAGGAGAGAAACCCTTTGTATGTGAAGCATAGGGGCATCTCCCTTTTTTGCCTGTATAACTTCAGATGTTCTGCACTTTGTATTCATTTCTGAGGAGTTACAAGAAGGACACACTGGAAAATTCTGTAGTGGAGGAAACTAATTCTGTGCACGTGTATTACTAGAACCATGTACCCTTCTGTTGGAACTTTCTCATTAAATGAATAAATAAAAAGTCGCCCATAAGTAGTTATGTTTCTGTTTTCTGTAGACGTTGAAACTGCTTTTATTACACGTGACATATTGAATCATTTTTTTATCATTGGTGTCCATTCACATATGAGTCTGCAATAATAAGCTGACAGTGGTTTAAGTTGATCACTAGAAAAATGTTACTATAAATACTGTAAATTTAAAATGACAGTACATTATAATGTAAGTATGGCTCATGTTTGAATTCATGTGGCCAAAAGATGGCACTGTTAGCAAAGTTTCCATAAATGAGGGCAGTGAAATGTGCAAAGGCTACTCCTTTGCCCTTTGGAGCTCTTTCACAAAGAAGTACACTGTACACCATATCTGCTATGCTCATAGCAGATATGGATCACAATCATGTACATTCTTGTAACACGTGTTGGTTAAATTTGACCAGAAAATTGACAAAGATTGAAAACATAAATCTGTGATTAGTTAAAGCTTAACAGTAATCTGCCACTGTAGGTGGCCAGCTAAACATTGTGCAAAACACTGAGGCATCAGAAGTACGTCTCAGCAGGATGCTTTTCAGGTAGATCGAAGCTGGGGCTGATGACAGCGATGGGTGGATTTCCACCTGGTCCTCCCCTCTCATAGTACGGCATGTTTGACTTTTCATTCAGCGCATACGGTGTGAGGGACAGCTTTAATTTCTGCACGAGAAATGTAGTAAAATTATTTCCACACAGCTTGATTATATAGGAACATGTGCGTGAGTACTACACTATATTGCTAAAAATATTTACTCATCTGACTTCAGACACATTTGAACCGAGTGACATCCCATTCGTAATCCATAGGTTTAATGTAAAGATATAATAGCTTCAACTCTTCTGGAAAGCCTTTCCACAAGGAATGTTTATGGGAATTTTTTGGCCATTCTTCCAGAAGCACATTTGTGAGGTCAGATGCTGATGATGGACGAGCAGGCCCAGCTGACAGTCTCCGCTCTAGTTTTCAATTTCAATGCTGTTCTATGAGGTCAGGACTCTGTGCAGGCCAGTCAAGTTCTCCCACACCAAACTCACTCATCCATGTCTTTATGGACCTTACTTTGTATATGCAGGCATGTTGGAACAGGAAGGGGCCATCCCTAAAATTGTCAGCATGAAATTGTCCAAAATGTCTTGGTATGCTGAAGCATTAAGAGTTCCTATCGCTGGAACTCGAGGGCCAAGCCCAACTCTTGAAAAGTACCCCACACAATAATCCACCAAACTGTATGCTTGGTGCAATGCAGTCAGACAAGTGGTGTTGTCCTGACTCTACAGAAAGTTGGTGACCTCTGTGAACTATGTGCCTTAGCGCATCCACTGACACCACTCTGTGAGTTTACACTGCCTATTACTTGTTGCTGTCGTTCCCAATTGCTTCCATTTTGTTGTAAGACCACTAACAGCTTTAAGACCAGACTCACTGCATAGGCGGCATCCTATCACAGTACCACACTGGAATTCATGGTGCTCCTGAGAGTGACCCATTCTTTCACAAATGTTCGCAGAAGCAGCCTGCACACCTAGGTGTGTGATTGGAAGTGATTGGAAGACCTGAATTGAATGATTTGGATGGGTGAGTGAATACTTCTGGCAACATAGTGTCTATGCATATGATATGTACATCACCTCCATGATGGAGCCAGGCAGCACCCACAAAGTGTGAATGGCACCCAGAGGAATCCAGATGATGGAGGCCAAAGCAATGATCCAGCCGACCCCCTGAGCCCAGGGAGGGAAGACGTACTCCCCATAGCGGGCAGGTTTGAATTGAATGATGGAGAAAATCAGGATGACCTGTATCAAGGAGCAGTTTAAGTTTGGATTTAAGTTTTAATTATTTCAGATGAAAATCTACATTATATTCATGTGAATAAAACAAATGCCCGTTAACATACAGTGATGAGCACAGGAGCAACTATAAGCCAACACAGTCTGAAGAAGATGTTTGCTTTGTGTCCATTCATCTCCTCCAGGTTGGCTGAAAGTCTTTTTACACCTGCAGATGGAGAAGTACTTTGGACCAACCTTTACTTGTCAATAAACATCTGTGCACATTTTATTTGCATGCTGGCAGATTAGTGACTCTAATCGCTGTTTGATTAGAGTGAAACTCGGATATTACACATGGCCATAAAATGTGTTAAGATACTGCCAAAAGAAAGTGCTACATCATTCTAAGTGTGCAATGAATGAAACACATGTCTCTCACCATAAATCCAACAGGTGGCCATGACCTCAAAGAATGCCAGAAACATGATGGATACTATGGCAGTGTAATGATCCATCAGCTGGAAAACATAGATTCCCACCTGGACAAAGGCATACTCTTTAGGACAGCAAGGAAGGGAAAATGAGCACCCTTCAATTTCTTTTTTATTTGGTTCAAATTCAAGCAGGAAATACAGTTTGTACCTGCATGACACAAGGAATTCCAAAGAGGCAGGCTACGAAACAAACCGCAAGAACAAACAGTTCCTTTTTCTTGAAAATGTGAATCACGTCTTTGTAGAATTGATCCATGAGGCTGGTGACCATCACTTCAACCATTGCAAACTGCAGTGTGGGAGTGGGACATAAGAATTTCATTATGAAACACTATGCAAACATGAATTCCCATCCTCAGGTTACAAGTAAAGTACCTCACTGTCCAGTCCGAGGCAAAGCAGCATAAAGAAGAACAACACTCCCCAGAGCTGAGCCACTGGCATGTTGGCAAAGGCTTGTGGGTAAACAACATAAACTAGTCCTGGACCTGTATAATAAGACAATAAGACAGATCAATAATCTGTAAAGACAAGGCAATCCTTCTTCAGCTCCAACCCTACTTTATGTCCCCATTTACCTACACTGCTCAAAAAAATAAATAAAAAAATAAAAAAATCAATGAACACTTTTTAATCAGAGTACAGAATCATAAAATGTGGTTACTTAAACTTCTGAGAGATTATATAAGTATCAGAGGGGGTGTTAATCAGCTTCAGCTGCTTCGGTATAACTGAAATTAACAACAGATGCACTACAGGGGCAACAATGAGAAAAACCCCCCAAACAGGATGGTGTTACAGTTGGAGGCCACTGAGGTTTTTCTACCTCCTTATATTTTCTCACAGATTTTTTCCCCCAGTTTCTATTTAGCTTGGGTCAGTGTCACTGCTCGTTGCATGAGGCAATGCCTGCACCCTACTGAGGTGTCTGCTGCAGGACGGCATATCAATGCGTACCATTTCCAGCAGGTTTGCTGTGTTGTGTTAAATTCTGCCCTCTGTGGGTTGATAACTTTCCCTTCAACTCAACAATGTGGAATCCTTTCATTCCTAACACATTACCGAGTCCATATCAGTATCGATATCTAGCATAATTTATTTTTTTCCATTGAGGTCCGATGTGTTTTCATAGTGTTCCTTTCATTTTTTTTGAGGAGTGTATTTTCTTATCACTTATTCCCATCTGACATTAGGCAAAGTGGAGGATAGACCCTTTGAGAATAGACTCACTCACTAATTAAAAAAAAAAAATCACTCACAAACAGTCATCCCTTTTTTTTCTTACCATCCACTGCCAGATCACTGACAGGAATGCCCTGCAGGTATGACATGTACCCAAAGGCAGAGAAAATGACAAACCCTGCCAGGATGCTGGTTATGGAGTTGATAATGGATATGCTCAGTGTGTCCCTGTGGGGAGAGAAGATGTCTTTTAAATCACTAACAAGAAATCACAGCTATTTTCAAGAAATGGCGGTCAAACATTTACTTCAAAATGTTGTTGTTGAAGTCATTGTAGCTGGACATTGCCATGAGCGAGCCAAAACCAATCCCAATGGAGTTAAAGATTTGAGCTGCAGCATTCACCCACACCTGAAACACAGACCACTGCTAATCAGTGCCAACACAGATTATCAGTATTAACACGACTCTCCCCGCTGCTAGAACAGTTAGGGTACTCCTCCAAAGCTACTACTCATTTCTTCTCTTGTTTCTTACCTCTACTGAGAGCAGCTCATCCCACACAGGCACAATGAAGAACTTTATCCCCTCTAATGCTCCAGGAAGCTGTGTATTATTGATCAGCAGGGCAATCAGAATAACATACGGGAACAGGGCAGTAAAGTACACCACCTGCACACAGAAAACGTATATATGGTATTAACTGTGGTCCAGTGCTCCACTTTTTTCGAGACTGAAGAAGTCACTTGGATGAGTGACGAAACGTTTCTCCCACAAAACGCTACGTCCAGATGAACAGAATCAACTTTTGGAGATTTACTTTCCTGGATGATTGAGAATGCATCAAGATGTTCCACTTTCTTTCTTTCCTTTTATTTTTTTTGGCTTAGGTTTTAGTTTCTCTCTCACCTTGCCTGTTGATTTCACCCCCTTAAAGATGCAAAAGTAAATGAGGATCCAGGCCAGAATGAGAATGAGGAAAAGATCCCACCGGAGCACTCCTGTATCCTCTACTCCACTAGTCTGCTCTAGCATCTTATATCTGAAAGGTGCCACAGTAAAAGAAATTAGAAAAACATTAATATTCTGAGTGCCCAAAGTCATGCCTTAAAGCTAAACACATGGGCCAGATTCAAAAAGACTGTCTGTCCTGTTGTGAAAAAACATTAAATCCAATCACATGTCAGGAAGTCATTAAAATAGACCTTTTGACATATCGGATTCAGTGTTTGCAGTTTCTTGCTTTTTAACCATACAAGTTAATTAGGTATCCACTATAAGTATGTATCTTCAGAACAGTTTTTTATTTCTCTACAAAAGGTAAAGATGTGCATTCATGTAGAAAATTCTCCATTCAGAGGTTAAACAATATGGGTTTGATTTTCATGCATGTGAATATTTTTCCTACTTGTACGCTTTTATACTTTTATCTCACAAGTTACTTTCCTGTAGAATGAGCAATACTGCATAGTGCAATTGACACACACATTCAATTCAGTTCCATTCACTTAACATGGACTCATCAGATGACCTAAGAGGAG